ATGGTAAATATGGCTACAGCTGATCCGTCTACAATGGAGGACGATGATCAAATGCTAACGTGGGAAGACACGTGGGTTCATCACTTGAACATGCAGTATGGTGATAGATTCGAACAGAGGGAACCCCCCACTGAAGATAAAATAGTCCAAGTTAACATGGGTGACGAGGCCAACCCAAAGCCTATATTCATCAGTGATAGTCTTCCCTCAAATGAGAAGGAGGAGTTAATTGCTCTCATCAGGGAGTATATTGACGTCTTCGCTTGGAACTACGAGGATATGCCAGGGCTCGACCCCAATGTGGCAATGCACCGCCTCCATATCAAGTCGGATGCCAAACCTGTCAAACAACAGCAAAGACGGTTTCGTCCGCAGATTATGGAAGCCATTGAGGCAGAGGTTAAGAAATTGATCGAATCAGGATTTATCCGAGAGGAGCAACATCCGGATTGGCTAGCCAATATCGTTCCAGTCATGAAGAAGAACAGTAAAATTAGGATTTGCATTGACTTCAGGGACCTGAATACGGCATGTCCAAAAGACGACTTTCCTCTCCCAATCACAGATGTCATTATCGACAATACATGTGGATTTGAGAGAATGTATTTTATGGATGGTTTCTCAGGATATAACCAAATCAAGATGCACCCAGATGACGAGAAGCATACAGCGTTCAGAACGCCCCGCTACACGGTGATGCCATTCGGTCTAAAGAATGCAGGCGCCACATACCAACGAGCAATGACTAAAATTTTCCAAGAACATCTCAGGAAAACAGTTGAGTGATACGTTGACGATTTGGTTGTAAAAAGCCGCAACAAAGAAGATCACATCAAGGACCTGAAGACGATGTTCGATCTCATGCGAAGCCATCAATTGAAGATGAACCCTACTAAATCCTTCCTGGGAATGTCTAGCGGAAAATTCCTTGGATTCGTCGTCACCACTAAAGGTATACATATCGATCCTGACAAAGTGAAGGCGATACACGAACTGCAACCTCCTAGAAATTTGAGAGAGCTCAGAGGATTGCAAGGGCGGCTAGCTTACATCCGGCGGTTCATCTCAAACCTTTCTGGGAAGTGCCAACCATTCTCTAAGCTAAACAAGAAAGGGGTGTCATTCATCTGGGACGATGCCTGCCAAAAAGCATTCGAAGATATCAAAACGTATCTGGCGAACCCTCCTGTTCTCGTTGCACCAAAATCAGGTAGACCGTTCTTGATTTATCTCAAGGCGATGAACCACTCGATAAGTGCCTTACTAGCACAAGACGATGATAATGGTCACGAACAGGCAGTCTATTACCTAAGTCGGACCTTGATAGGCGCCGAGTCTCGATATCCGATGATTGAGAAAGAATGCCTATTCGCGATGCAAAAGATGCGGCATTACTTGGTTGGACAGACGATTTACGTCATTTCCAATGTTAATCCAGTACGGGTGTTTATGACGCAACCGGCCTCTATGAATTGGCGATTAGCGAAGTGGGCCCTTCTCTTGTCCCAATATGATTTGCACTTCAAACAACAGAAGTCGATCAAAGGACAAGCAATTTACGATCTTTTGGCGGCAAACCCGACCACAGATACGACAGAAGTATATGATGACTTGCCGGATGAAACCCACGAGGTTAACACCACATCACACCAACAAGTATGGCAATTATACTTTGATGGTGCATCGAGAGCAGTTAATAGGGCAATAACCCCCGGATGTCCTAAAGTCTCCTCCGGAGTTGGAGTTGTCTGAATTTTCTCGGGGAAGCATGTGATGCCTCGGGCCTATTCACTGACTAGTCCATGTTCCAATAACGTAGCCGAGTACAACGCGCTTCTCATTAGACTCAGTTTCGCCAAGGAGCTGGGGGTCGAATATCTCGAAGCTTTTGGGGATTCCCAATTGATAGTCAACCAAGTCCGTGGAGAGTATGAAGTCAGGAACCAAGACCTGATCCCGTACCACCAGGAGGCCATCAAAATGGCAGATTCTTTTGAAGAATTCTTTATTGAATACATCCCTCATCTCCAGAACGCTTATGCACCATGGATTTTCTAACCCAAATCTCCAAATCCTAGCCCAATCCCCAAACCCTAAATCTCATCCCTCCCTCCAATCCAAGGAAAAAAAAACCCAGTCCTCACCCAAACCCTAACCTCAACTCCCCTCAATCCTCCCATCTCCCACCCTCCACCCTCCAATCCAAGAAAAAAGAACCTACTGAAACCCTAGCCAATGAGCAAAAGATCAACAAATCGGCCTCCTAATAACCCTCTCTAGCAAGAACGACGCTGGTCAGTTGAAGAGGACATCAATTTCAGGATTAATTTTAAAATATGATGACTTTGGGGTCTAATATCAAAACATGAAAGATTTGGGGGACTAATATAGAACAAATCTATATTTTTTATAATTAATTGGAACACGTGCTTTTGCACGCGTTTGGGGTGAAGTATTTTTGTCGTTTATGTGTTTTTTAGGCTGAAAACTCAAATAAGTGTGACATTATAAATATGTTAGCATTTAATGGTCAGAAAGGTGTAAAATCAACACGTCAGTGTCACATGGTAACAGTGAAATTTTTTGGTGTTTGCATGATTGAGAGTACTGATGCTTTTTTTTAAATAACTTATGATATTTTCCTGCTAAAAATTACAACTTGTGGTATATAAGTGACAGAAAGGCAAAAGTTTACAGTATTTAAGTAAAATTTGGCCTTAACTTTATCAACGGAAAACTCCTTGTCTTTTAAAAATAACTGAAAAATTCAGATATATTAGTAAATAATTTAGCGGTAAGGGGTGAACACATCTTCCAACTTATAGGCTTTTCTTTCTAAAATTTGGGACGATTGAGGGGTATGCTAATATCAATTATGAAAGATGTAAACTGTTCGAATTGTTAGCTCTGTCCCTCAGATCTCAAGCTTGAGATCTCAATTTCAGGTGCACAATGTTATCCAGTGAATGAAACAGACTGAAAAACTGAAATAAGATGCCATGTCACAAATAGAACAGTAATGCTAAAATAGAGCCTTAAATATGTGTGTCTAAGAATTCTTAAATTTACACCAGGTAAATTCAGTGAGATTGATGTGCTTCATTTCCCAAACCATTTAGGTAATTGAACAAAAGAGAATCATCAAGTTCAGAAGAAGTTCTACGAATAATTTTCATTAGTTTCCATCATGACGTAAAAAGGGAGGTGGATAGAGAAAAGCACCTCCAAGTAATGACCTCGCAATTTCACGCTCAGCTGCAATTTGTAGAGGAATTTGAAATTTGAAAGTTGGGTCCTCAAATTGACCTCGCTTGGCCACACTAGTGGAATTGGTCTGGACGCCATAACTTATAACAGTTGAACTTTTTTCCACAAAATGTAAAGCACCAGGACAGCGCAGGGGGTTATCTAAAAGCCAAGTATCAACTTCTTTTGGAGTTCGAAAGGATTTAACCTGCAGAGTTCACAAGCAAACTATAACTCCTGATCGGCCAATTAAAGTAATCTCTGCTCACTCAGTATTTTGACAATATCTTAATCATTTAAGTGCGAATATTAATTATATATTTCTTTCTCTTTCGGATATCAATTGATTGGGGATAAGTATCCTCCAAAAATACAAGAGAATATAAATAGAAAATATCAAAAATACCATGAAGCTAAAGCAGAAACACATAAAGAATATTCATAAATTCATACCAATAATATTCCATCAAAAGAAGTCAGTGTTTACTTGCTCAGCTAGTAGGAAAGACAATTAGCAGAGGTTTAATGAAGACAATCATAGTCTATTGCAGAAGGGAAAACAAAAAAAAATTGCACAAACATAACAAAAATTGCTAACATGCCAGCCCCATTCACATGGTTATGGTATTCTTCAAATGTTTGTAAATTTTCAGAATCATATCCAACCTACACCAGCGCAGTGGGTTCTTCAAAGTGCATTCATCTAGAGTTCTTATAGAAAATCATAGATTTTAGAAAACCAAATAGAGAAATTTCACTACTCATGTATAGAAAACTTAGCACTACCTTTTTTCAAGGAAAACTAGCCTTCTTGCTCAGGCAATGCGTGCGCGACACAAAAACATGTGGGTGCTGAAGTAGTGAATTTTTGTTTGAGGTGGTTGGGTGG